ATTTAAATTTATCTCCATTGAGCAGATAAAGTAAACTTTATCAATATTATATTGTATTTGAAAAGAGATGATTTTTGTAGATTAGAGTTCTTTTAAATTTATTATGTACATGATTTTCCTCTAGCTGTTAGCTTTAACCTGCAGGACTAATTCATGGGGTTTAACAGTTTCAGGTGACATTATGATTGAAACTTATTAATTTTGAAAACCCTGACATATTCCTTTAAAACATTCAAAAGTCTATTGCGATACAATTTTATTACGTCAAATTTGGTTACCTGGCAATGTTGACCCAGGTGCTAAATGAAATATTGCAATAGATGAGAAAAAATATTACAAATTAAATCATAATTGTTATATTCAAAATTATGATTAATAATATTATTACAAATTGTATGTTTTTACAAAATAGTACCAATCTGAACCTACTATCAAGTAAACATTACAACCAAATCATTTCTAAAATCTCCACCTGCATCTACATCCTTAACTATTTTTTCATTCTTTCATTTATATAGAGAAGCATTATACCCTCCTATGTCTACAGTTTCCCTTCTTTAGCTAAAAACACAAACTTGTTTTAACAAGATTATGAACATGATGAGAAATTTTATTAAAGCCAGAAGCAAAAAGCAAAGTTCTGCAGGATTTACCTCCACATACTTTACTTCTTCTCATATATCGTCATTTCCTGTGTGGCTTGACTATTCCCTTTTACCTCTACTCCCAAGGCGCAGAGAGCTCTGCCATAATGTGATCATCTGGACCATAATTTGATATGTTTTATACACTGGTGATTGACCAGTGCTGTGATTATTTGATTCTATGCCAAAGAACCCATCATCTCCTGTTTCCTACATTCTTTTTCCAGAACCAGTTTTCTTCTTGGACTGTTCAGGACAACGAAGCATCAATGTACGGCAAACATTAATGGCTAAACTGTGTTTGTGTTGTTGTAAGTCTTGACTGGACCTTCCTGGTTGGTAAACAGATATTCACCACCAAATGCAAACATGGAATTGGACTGCAACCCTTCTATGCCATAAAATGACAAAAAGAAAACTTTTAAGAACAGCAGAAATTTGAGGGCTGACCCAAATTTTCCAACACTGGTTAGTATTTAGTTTTCCAAGTGAAATTGTCTTTTAATTCCCAGTGCTGTCAAATGAGATAAACGGGAATATACCAGAAAACTCTTTCCATTACAGAATCTATTTGGAACGGCGTTTGTGCAAGTGAAGATGGTTGATACTATTTGTTTTTCATGTTCTCCTGTCCCATTTTATAGCACAATCAAGCAACAATTCAGTTGTAAAAACGCTGTATATTTCTAACATAGCTTAAAAGAAAATTGTCTTTGCAATTTGATGCCTTGAAATTGGCCTTTGTCTCTTTAAGAAGCTCCTGCTCTTTCCAGCTCTCTGCATTGAGCCCGTCATCAACACAACGCATTTCAATTATGTCATTTACAACCACACTTACAACCAACAAAGAAAAAAAGTGTTAAATCAGAGTTAATTTATTTGACAGAAGGTAATATTTATTTTTCCACAAAAGGATAGAAGTATGATACATTGTGATCCCTGATCAAACCAAAATAACTATAATGTGTTCATTACTGTTAGATATTATTCATTGTAGTAACATGCTCACATTTCGTTACAGTAGACTAGACTTGGAACAGAATATAGATAAAGTGAAATCATTGGCCATCAAATCTGAGCTGGATGCAATTGGCCAAAAATTGTAATCTGTGCATCTGAACTACAAATAACTGTAATATTTTTTGCTGACCAGTTGTTTTAGGATCTGGTTAGAATAAAAAGAATAAACATACCTGCAACAGTGATTCATCGCCATGGATGAAGTGTCGCTGAGAGCCTTTTTCCCTTAACTTTGCCCACCAAAGTGGTAAGTTCCAGACGCAGCTTCTTACAAAATGTCACTGCAGCGATTTGTTCTGCCTCCAAGGATATTTTAGGATTCATTATATAAATCTGATCACTGACAGCAGTCCATGGATGTCTTGCTCAGAAATCCAGCTTCTTCTGCCGCGCCTGATCTGAGCTCACATGGCCAAACTTTAAAGCAAGGCTGTAACTTTGTGCTGCAAGTTGGTGGACGAGGAGGAGCCGGGGGGTTTCTGATGCGCCACAGTTACTGGAAGGCCTTTTCTTTTCTAGTGCTAAGAATAAAGCCAAAACTTCCATGTGAAAACCTTACAGTCTTACTCAATAAATTAGGATATACGTCCTGATCAGGCTTGTCAGATTAATATTACCGTCTGAAAATAATCTTTCAGCAGGTATTAAACATGCTGCGAAATATAAATATGTTAAAATGGAAGAAATCTAATTAATTTTATGCATTATTGCTCTGAATATCGCCTTCTAGGAACAAATGATGCAATTTGCCCAGGGGAAAAATGTAGAAAAATGGGTGGTTATATTATATTTTTTCTCAGTCTGTAAGCTTAACGTCACGCCCAGACTCGCTGGCATGGCAACCAATAAACAGAGCAAAGATGACATTCAAGTGCATCAGAAATTAACAAAGAAAAAGGTTGGGGACTGTCCCCTTCATGCCAGAGTTGGTGGGACATGTCCACACCAGTCCTTCAGGAAGATACGCCTAAGCTATAAAGAGAGCTCTACTGAATATTAGTCAGTTTTCCACATTTTAAAGAAATTTCCATGACTCTCTGGAGACAAATTGTCATATTTTTGCATCAAAACTGTCAACTTTAACTCATTTGCTTCACCTGAAAAGAGGTAAGGGATTGTGTGTTTAGGGATAATGTGTTTCAACATGCATTTGGGTCATTACTTTGTGAACAGAAGCTCTAGATTCAGGCAGCCACTTATAGCTGTTTCAAGAAAACTTTATGACTGCACTTTTCCTCATCTCAATACTTCTTAGACAGGCAGTCAGGATTTATTTAAATATTCATTCCTGTAAATCTGGAGGAACTTGTGTACACATGGAATATATATATATACAATCACAGTTTTCATGGTTTTCAGAGACAATCAACTTCTCCGCCAGAACAACTTTATCACCTCAGGCTTATTTAGTGGCTCCACACTCTCAAAAATGTACCTTTGTTAGATTGAAAGCGGCTGTGATTATAGATTTTATATTCCAATGAAATCGAACGTGCATGTGTGAAATGAATACAGTGAAAAATCAGGACTTGCTCTTAACTCACACATATATATATTTGGTATTCATTGTGTTTGATTCAGCACTGTGACTGAACAGCCATATTCTTCGTCTCCGGCTGCGACATTACAGGAGTTGTCAGGACAACCAGCCATGATTCAGGGAGCCTCAGATGGGCCTCCACCTTGGGCTAGAAGCCTTAGCCATGAGCCTGAGCAGATGCTGGAGCTGTTGGCCAATCACAGGTGAGACACAGGAAAAAGATGACATCATAGGCAAATGAGGACAAATGTGGAAACTATAGTGGTTGTCGTGTTCGCCTGCTTACAAACGCAACCACCATGAACTCATGTTGAATATTTCTGCTTTTCACCTTCCAGACCGTGAAACAAAATCCACATCACATGTGAAAGTTTCAGAGCAAAAACTATGGTAAATATTTTGAATGTAGTGATGAACCTGGAGTCCGGGCCAGAAGGTTTAGATGAGAGATGTCATGTTCACCGATTTTTGGCCGATTTCGGATCTGTAGTTTCGTAAAGATACGGATCAGAATATTTGTTTTTAACCCTCCTGCTGTAAGAAGTCAATTAGTTTAAACATATTAATATTAGGAGAAAATGTGATATGCGCATCTAGTAGCTGGCAAAAATGGTCCAACTAATTTAAGGCAAACAAGTGGGTCTCCACACTTCTTCAAAACCTTAATAATTACATAAGTGATTTTGAGTTTTCGTCACACGCTAATATCCACACCCCCCTATGATGTGACCTGACAGTGCCAGGATGTGATATTTACATTTTGTACCATCCACAAATATATGTCAGTCTTCTGTACAATTCTGATTTATCCAGTTGTTGCTATTTCATGTCTTGAAATATCTCTTAAAACCTTAGGAATAACTTTTAGTTTTTCTGAAAGTCATTGAGTTATTTTTAATTGCATTACTGTTATACAATAGATGTTGCTCAACTTAGCCAGAACTTAGCCAACAAACCAAAAGTTTGGAAGCAAGGCCAATACAGAGCAAGCATTTTAAATCAATTTCAGCTTTTTGTAACCTCTGTCAGTGATGTCTGTGTGATCAGACGTTAGTTTCTTTAGTTTGTCTTTTAGATACACATTGATGTTCAAAGAAGGGCTTTATTTTTTATTTGCAAAAGTCACAACTACAGTGCAAAAAAACACAAAGAACATAACATTTTGCACAACATAAATTATTTTTGAAGAAATCATTGTGGCATATCGTGTTAAAATTTCCGACCAATGCAATTAGAAATTTCTCTTTCTAATTTCTCTCTTAGAAAGAGAAATTAAAATACCTGATAATTATAGTATTTGATGCGATCAGTGAGTCTTTATGTAATAATCATAGTAATTTGTTTTCTTCCACAGAAAATTAATACTTTTATTATTATTATTATTATTATTATTATTATTATTATTATTATTATTGAACATGATAGAAGCATAAACTCATACACATGAACAAGGAATGCAAGAGACATATTTTTGTGCCACAATAATCTTAACAAGTTGTAGGAAGAAGTAAGAAACTTATGAGCTCCAACCTATAATACCATATCATATTTTCAGATGGACCCTAATTACTAAATCAAACAAATGGGTTAATTAATTTTCCATTTGATCTGGGTCTACATATATGCATCCATACATCCATACCCACCCACACAGTGGTGCTAAATCTCATTCATGTGTATTTGACCCTCATAAGGTGATAAATGTGTGATAATAATGAAATGTTTCGGTTGCATTCAAAACCTGAAACTCTCTCCTGTTTCTCGTTTGCAGGTTTGGTCTGTTAAACAGAAAACCAACCTCTGCTGTCTCCTCCCCTGGACCTGCTGCCCGCATTAATATTCAGCCCGTCAGCCAATCAGCCCAGCTGGGTGGATGACATCATGGGCTAGGGAACAGCGAACAGCCAGTGAAGCATCCAGCCTGCCGAGCAAGCTTTGCTTTTAGGGTCAGGAACTGGTCTGACAAGAGAATGGCAGTCCTGCCTTTAAACTGTCACTAGGACTGCACGGCTGACGATGAATCCAGCGGGACTCCAGGCCCAAAGGCGAGACACCGAGCAGGAGAATGTGAAGACATATTTCAGGTAATTCCCTCTGTGTGTAATGCAATAAGGGATGTGGAAAAGGGGGAGCTGGAGGAGCTGGAGGAGGAGGGGAGAGGCTGTGTATGTAGGGGTTGCTTTGTAGCCTTTCCTTTTTCTTCCTGCTCTCTGCATTCTGGCCTGCTAGTCAGGCAGCTGTTTCCTCAGCAGTTCTTCTCATTTCCTGGGCTGAGATGGGAATAGATGGCCCCACTGGATGCGTTTTGTATCATCCCACACTGCATCGCATCACCTCTGTCTACACTCCTTTACACCTCACAAATATAGCATCCCTATTACTTGGAATCAACTGTGGCATTTGAGCAATCCTTGTGTCAGTGAAAGTGTGTGTGTGTGTGTGTGTGTGTGTGTGTGTGTGTGTGTGTGTGTGTGTGTGTGTGTGTGTGTGTGTGTGTGTGTGAAATGCAGCAGCTGCAGTAGCTCCACAGAAGCAAGAAAGAAGCAATGCTATTTTTGGGAGCTGCTGGATGGATCAGAGCTGTTCATGCTGATGTGGATGAGCTGGTGATGGATGGTTTATGTGCTGAGGGAAGCTCTTTTTTTTTATTTTATGGGAGCTCTCCTCTGCACCGCCTCACTTATGGTCTCTGGGAAGGGATGCACACACACTCGGATCGGAGACGCGTCTCCGTGTCCTGGCTTCCAACATGGTTGCGTGCAGCAGCTTCATGGCGGCTGTAGTGACAGGGAGATATACAACATCTGGTCACCTGACTTTACTGGGGATCGGAGTGGGGGTGGGTTCTGTGAAAAAAACCGAGCTGATCTAGCTCGGATTCCTCCCCGGCCGTCATCAGCAGAGGAGGATGGAGGAGATGACTGCAGAGCAAGCTGAATCTGTCTCCTCTGCAGCCTCTCTCTGTGTGTGTTGCAGTGGTTGTGTCCTGGCCGCCGGCGTACAGGGAGTGGGAGATTCCTCTCCCAAGGAAGCGCAGTCATCCTGGGCAGGAGCAGGGCCTGATGGGAGACCTGTTGTCTGGTGTGGGGAGAAATATTAGGGAGTCATGTCAGCGACTGAGGGAGCGCCAGATGATCATGGAGGGGAGTTGGGGGATGGGTTGGTGAAGGTGCTGCTCTCTTTGAACATTGATCTCCGTTACAATTCTCCCAGAGACTTTGCCCTCAAAGCATCATTTCCCCTGCTAACACTCGTCATTATATAAAGTAGAAGGAACCTATTTGCATACTATGTACAAAAATACATCTAGCCATATTTTTCTCACCTGTATCAGACTGAACTTTACTTATTTTCCGTCAGTGAGGATCACCGAAAGTGTTGATATTTGCTAAATCCCAGATTATTGAGAAACTTGAAGCAATTTGTGAGTGGATTCATAGCTTTGTAAATGTTTGAGTTAAATGGATGCAAATCTGTGGATGTATTTGAAGGGAACACCTTAAACTCTGCTTCCTTGTCTGACATCATGGAAAATTCAGAGAAAAATAAAGCAATTTATGAGGAAGAGAGATTTGAACCATCAGACTGTTCTGTTTCTTAGAAATAAAAGTGTTTTGGTTTGAAATGTGTGTTTTAGCCCCAGGCCTGTCACAATAACAATTTTCCTGGTCGATAAATTGTAAAGTTATTGCAAAAAACGATAATATTGTTGTGCTGAGACCATTTTCAAGTAATAATAATGCAAGAAACACATCCTTACAGATGAATGAACTTTAAATTCTGATGAACATTTAAAACTGGACCCGGAAGAGATTTTAAATATCCACTATAAATAAACAAAACAGAAACAAAATGAATCATGAACAAAACTATCCTTTAGTTGAAACCAAAGCGCCAGAGTGAAGACTTTTATCATCCAGTTTTTGGTAGAAGAAGAGAAAAACTATAAATTATGCAAGTGAAAATTATTGAGTTTGTTTTAATTCATCATTCAATTAGTTGATTTATTGATTATTGTGACAGGCTTAATTAGCCTCAAAGCAAAAGCTCTTGTGAACTGAAAATAGCACAAGAATGTCATTATAAACAGTGAAATGAGTCAAGCACCATCCTGGACTAAAGGAAGAAGCCTTTGCCTCAGAAAGGACCAGATTAGAGTTTGTAAACATACTATGAGATAAAAACCTTATTTATTAGAGTATTTTGGTCTGAAACTAAAATTGAAGTGTTTATCCATTATTTGTAGGAAAACGAGGAGAAGCTTGCTAGGCTATGAGGTTTATAGCCTCATAGCCTTTAAACTATGAGGCTATAAACTATGAGGCTATGATGTTTTGTTGTGCATTGTCCTTAACACACACTTATTATCCGACCCAGACGTCTTCAATGCTGCATCATAGGATCATTGGGTGGTTTGGGTCTCACCACATCATACTCCCTGGCTTGGGTCTAATAGTTTGTGTGCACCATATAGATGACATCATGAGAAAAAACCCCATTGTGGTGCTAAAAATGCATCATCAACCACAAGTAGTTTGTGGAAAGGAACCAAAAACAGTTGACCCAAGTTGTAACATTTAAGTCATTTTTAGCAAATATAAAGGCAATATGTGTACAGTTAAAAGTAATTATCTCATTAACCTTTAATTTACCAAATATAAATAATGAATCAGTCATAACAACTGACCTCCAACAACAAAGGTTTATTCTAAAGTGTTTTATGTCTTATACCTAAATACTTTGTTCAAGTGCAGCTCTCTGTCCTGCTCTTAGAGAAGAAGCCACTTCAGTTTTGTCAATCTACTGAAGGGTCTTCATCAGAAAACAGGTCGACAATCAGTCAAAGTTATGGTGTACCATTAGAGCGGAATTATTCTGTGCTTATGCGTCCTGCCATTCAGCAATCTGCGAGACTGTTGCTGGATAATCAGTCTCGACTGCTCTCCTGCTAAGCTTCACACTTCTGCCGCGATACTCCATGTGACACTTTCATCATATTCTCATCACACCTTCCTCTATAGGAGTCCGTCACGAGCAAATAGACTTTTTTCTGTTACCATATAGGTAAAAGGTTGTTCTGAATCATTCTGCATGTTAAATGCACCTTTTATGCTAAATGAAAATGAAAGAGACTCATCTCACAATAGTTGTGTGTGTTTATATGCTGGAACTAAAATACAGGTAGAGTAGCGACCCACAGCATAGTGCTTGTACTGAATATAGAGCGGTTTATTGTGGCTTAGCTTTTCACGCTAATGTTCAAAATCACTTTTTTTATGGTTCAAACAAGTTTAAGTACATAAAACTATTTCTATAGTTTATCATAAATGTCTTGTTTTCCTTACTGCTTGGCTGGAACATTTTTCATTTTTTTGTTTTGATCTATTATTTCAGCTCATGTCATCTGTCCTGAAGTTTTAAAAACAGTTAAGCGAATGAGCTAACAAATAACTCATTGACCTTAACATGTACAACATGGTGTGTCACACAATCTGGCAGCTTTTAAGTAAAATAGTTATTTGATACTAATTAACTTATTAGCAACAAGATGCTTTTTATTACAATTAAGCATTCTTTTAATAAATTTAACAAATTTTCTATAAAAATACAAAATGTTTTGTTGTATCAGGTGTTTTATTATGCTCATATCTATCTTTATAGGTATAAATACAATGCAAAAACTTAAATTAAAACCTATAGAAGTTTTTTCTATTTTTATTAAATGCATCTAGTAAAGAGTTTAATGAAGGTAGAAAAATAATTTGTTAAAATCTGTTTCTTGAATCACACATTAAAGGGTTGATAAAAGTGATGGTTGGTTGTCCCGTGGTTTCCTGCAGATAATGTCTGTCTGTGATTTTTGCAAACTAAAATTTTTTCCAAAGTGCTAGATTTGCTTTTCTGAGTGGGGATAAGAGTGGTAGCCTTCTTTCAGCCAGCTGACCAGCAGTGTGCAGCCACTTATTTTGTGTCTGGAGAGCCGGTAAAAAAAAAATCTCTGTCAGCAAGGTCACCTTGAACTCTAGGAACGGTATTCTTTAAAAGCTTTGCTTTGAGTTTGTCAGACATTGGTGTTTCTTCTTCTTTGATTTTTTAAGTTTTTGTAACACAAGCTGCGTCAAGGGTTCAAGGGTCAGGAATTAAACTCCAGCTGCTGCAGGGATGAGCAGCCTCGTACACGGGGAACTCGTTTTACCGCTACAGTACGCGCCGCCCGGACCGGGCCTATTTCTGATCAGTGAGTGCATAGTAGAAGTAGCTTGTGGTATCCCTGACAGCACATGGCAGAAGCAGAACTTTATTTGTGCGCTGAAACAATGTGCGTTTCTTTTTCCGTGCTAGCCTCATTGTCTCCAGGAGTATTAGCGTGCTGTTCTGGGCTGTCTTATGTTTTCCAGTTGTCACCGTAACCCAACACAAGCAGCTTCTCTTACCTCAGCCCAGCTAACAAAAGCAGCAGACACAGTACCTCATCTTGGCCTGCAGCCTGCTAACTGGGCCGGCCTGAAACATGATATCGGGACACAGAAAATGCATACAAGGAGACCTCCATCTGTTGAGGGCTGCACTGCCGCCGTTGAGCCGGGTTATCGTTTCGGGCTCTTGTTGTGGCCCCGTGTGCGGGTTGCTCCTGTGTGTGTTTTTAAGGTCACAGCAGTTCTTGCAGTAGGTGTTTCAGAGCTCCAGTCTGTGTGTCATGGATTAGCATGTAGGATTGGAAGCCATCTGGCCATTTTGTCTTAGATAGAGGAGGGGGAGTAAGTGAGGGAGATGGATGAAGAGAGACAGTGTATCACACACTGACACATTGACACAGCTCCCTCTGTAATCTCCCTGCTTGATGTCTGTTGCTACTTACAGCAGGTTTACTTGCATGTGTGACTTTATGTGTTCCCTACTCCATAGATATCCATGTCGCCTCACCCAGACGTTCAACACAGGAATAGGACAAGAAATGTGTTGGGGCAGGGTTCCTATGTAATAGAGTTTGATCTCAGTACGGAAAAATAATTTCATTATTTTCTACCTCATTGTCTAAATTTTTTATGTTCTTCTTTTCTTCCTTGTGTCTTCACTTCTCCAT